ATATAATGATGGAGTGATATAGTGATGGAGTGATATAATGATGGAGTGATATAGTGATGGAGTGATATAGTGATGGAGTGATATAATGATGGAGTGATATAATGATGGAGTGATATAGTGATGGAGTGATATAATGATGGAGTGATATAGTGATGGAGTGATATAGTGACAGATTGATATAGTGATGGAGTGATATAATGATGGAGTGATATAATGATGGAGTGATATAGTGATGGAGTGATATAATGATGGAGTGACCTGCATCAGCAGCGTCTCTGTGTCCTGAAGGGCTCTTCATTCATCTGGAGGCGAAGGGGCAGCCGGGCTGCTGCCCACCAAGCTGCAACACAAAACAGTCCAGAGCTGAAAGAACAAAAGGACACAACGTTACCTCTGAGGTCCAACAGTCAGAAGCTCCTGAGACAAAGGAAGGAAATCTGCACCATCTCATTATTTATTACACAAAAACAAAACGATCCAAGTCCTGCTCCTCAGGTACAACCAGGAACTGATCCCCATCAGTGGGACCACCTCCCACTATGGAGTTTTTATAAACTGAGACACAACTGAAGGTCAACATCTGATGACAGCAGGGGGCGACAAAACCTCATCAGACACTAAAACCTTTAAACTCATTAAGTTTAAGAACAATTCAACACAAAAGAACCAGAAACTGTCAGGACTAAACTTTTACCAGAAAAGTCATGAACAACATGTCCCAGAACACACTGAAAATAATTAAACTTTGAACTTAAATTGTAGAGTTTTGTAGCAAAAATCGATGTTTTAAGCAGAGACAGAAGATCCTTCAGTCAGCCAACATGTGGAGGTCTCAGGTCCTGAACTCTGACCTTTAATTATTGATCAGGGAGCAGACAGAAGATTTGTTGTGTTTTATTTAAACTTGGTGTTAAATAACACATCTGAGCCTCTACCCGCTCCGTTACAGGTCCGACACTGCAGAGCAACATGAAAACACTTTGATCCATCGTCTGGACCAACTCTGAGCAGAGCCTCACAGGAATCAGAACCACCAGGACCATGACAGACGGACCCTCKGCAGCTGGGGCTCATTTTCCAGCTGCTGAAGCAGGAAACTCCTCATGAGTCATCCAGTGGTCCTGGAGTGAAGCTGGACCCTGACGTCATTAAATACCAGAACCAGAAGCTTTGTGTCCGCTGAGCACCTCGAAGCAAAACTAAAACCAGTCCGACCTGGACCTGAAGTCTGACCCAGAAACCTTTAACAACAAGGCTCAGTTTTTGTCCTGGAAACAGACGGTGAGACCCTGGTCCTATTAAAACACAACAGAACCCCAAACATCTGGATCACATTCAGCACTGCCAGAACCGGTCTAGTCCCTGATCCAACAGCTACAATAAACAGGAACTGAACCATTTTTCTGATCCAGATCCGGCAGAAACTATTATTTTACATTTTTACTCCACGTTAGTCAAATCAGATTTATTTTAAAACAGATGTTGATCAAACAGCTGCAGAAATAAAGAAACTCGATAAAAAACTAAAAGAATAAATGATGGCCTTTTGTTCTGCTGTTTTGTAGAGGAACTAACCAGCTGTCGTGTGATTGGTCACAATGTTGTTGTGGGCGTGTTCATGTGGACAAACAGGTTAACTGGAAGAAGGCGTCGACACTTTAAGCTAGCCACCCCACTTGTTGGCTGTGTCCAAAACAACAGGACGGGTCCTCCGAAGGGCGAATTTGTCGGCTGCATACGT